CGGCTTTTAGCGGGTCCCTAAAAGGTTGTTCTTCCATTTATGATCTGTACAATTGACTCCATTAAGTATACGGAGTTTTACTGAAAAATTAAGTTCCGTGTCCTCTAATTTCTGGACATGTAATTTTATGATAAATGGGGCTCAGGAACTTGGATTTCTTAGGCTAGAAAGACAAATTTCACTACCCGCCATAAGGTCCCTTTTGTCAATTATATATAGGTTAGATACTGGTTACGAGGTTTCTAAGCATTGATAGAATCCCGAGGAAGTGTATAGGTAACCGAGCGCGCAGCGCGAGGTTACTATGACTTCCGAGGGATTCTAGCAACAGGGGCGTATCTAAGCTTTGAGAGTTGGCTGGGCATGGAGAAAAAATATGCGGCGCACGAAGCGCGCCGCGAAAATTTTTTAGAACTCATTAATATTCACGATGGGCGTGGTCAATTAAATACTACGATTATTACTTTAATTAAGCTAAGATGTGCACTTCAGTGCTTATATTTTCTCCATTAGTAGTAGTACTGGCCTTGGGAAGACATTCAAATAGACTCAGCAGAGTTTCTTAGCCATTTTCAACTCGATTACTTTAATAATTAATGTGAATAGTCTAATAACTGATTGGTTAGTAGTAGTTATTATTTTTAAAATGGCAGCCCAATTGCCCAAATGGAGCTATGGAAGTCTCTACCATGTCATCATTATATTTACACTGGCTAAAACTATTAGCTATGCTAGTCTTGTCTCATTGCTATCATAATAAAGTGAGCAATATTTTTAAAAGGACTAATATACAAAAGAAAAAATTTTTTGGTCTGCTGAGTTGGTCGGGCACAGGCCCACCCAGGCCCACCCTTAGATACGCCCCTGTCTAGCAACGCTTAGAAACCGAGTAACCAGTATCTAAGGTATTTAGAATTATACATCTTGGCTAGCAACCAGCCTGGCTATGTTGGTGAACCACTCAGCCAATCAAAAAAGATTCTGGTACTGTTGTTTACCAGACTAACCTTGGCAACTAGTAGCCTATAAAAGAAGAAGGGTTGTTAGGATCCTTAGTTTAGATTCAAACTAATAAATCTCATTCCAGAGAGCCATGGCTTACGTTAGTCGCTACAGAGATGTCTGTCTGCCCGATGCAAATAGATTTAAGCATAGATAATAGAGTAAATGAAAGGGATTGGAAACGGGGGCGTAGGCTAGTTGATGTTGCTATTGGTTACCGGCCCAATACCTGGTCGATTTCCCATCTCCTCCATTAGTGAGGCTGTGCTGCAAGGACTTCGAAGGATATTTATGGAAATCCAAGAGGACGCTTACTTATGATATACCTACCGTTCCATATAGAAAGTTTAGGACTACCTGCAGCAAGGTTTTTATATCTACAACGCTATTTTGCAACGAGTTATAGGTACAACAAAATTTTTTCATTTTTCGCCCTTTTTCTGTTGTAACAAACTCATGCTTCATGGATTCTAACCCTAACTAGTATCATTCGATATGCAAATAAAAGCTCTTTCATATGATTATAAAGATCTTGTATCTTACTCAAGCTTGTTTTCAAAAAAGGGATTATAATGACAAAAAATACATTTTATGGTTTTAAAAGAGCCATAACATGAACATAGTAAAATTATCTATACAATAGAAAACAGAATTATTAAGAGGAAACATTAGGCTTCTTGATGCATTAATTCCACTTGCATAGGAACACTTGTTCGCGAGATATTGTTTCTAAGAGAAAAAAAATCAAGGGTAAATTGTGACAAAAAATTTCAACGAGCCTCTGTCAGCCTAGCAGCAATACAAATGAATGGAGGTTGGGCTACGCCCACGCTTCCGTTTCCAATCCCTGTCATTTAATATCTATGATTTAAGCAGCAATTTTGCAACCCCGCCCATTCCCACCCACATGTAGATACGCCCATGGCTAGATCTAGGCACGCAAATGTGAAGAGGATATTACGGCAGCTAGGAAAACCGCAGTTCCATTGAAGACACAGCAAGATACTCAATGGTGTGTCAAATTATGGATGGGCTGGAGCACCCATAGAAACAGTAATTATAATGGCCCAAAGGTTCTACTTGACAGTCAGCTCAAGAAGGCAAGCAAACAGTGACCATCAACAAACCACTCACTC